GTACATAACAGTGGGAAGCAGAAAATGTACTCCATCGCGAAGTGAAAGATGATAGTAATAACTTACATATTTTGAAAATCACTCTCAGAGTTAATCAGGACTGCCCTGGTTCCCTCCTTTTTCCTCATATAAATATTGCCATTTTTTATCCATAGAATGTGTATGTTAGTTTCCTTCTTATATTCTTTTGCTTTCAAAAACAAACTTTTGTTTTGTGCTGTGAGATATTCATTCACATATATAGTGTTTGGATCTTTGACTAGATTTTCCAAAGATTTGTCCAGATCAGCAGTCGAAAAGTCCCGCTTCATTTTACGGCACCGTATGAATTCATCCTTGTAAATCTGCGTAGAAAAAACAATAATCCTATTGGATTTCACACCGTTTTTACCAGCTGTTTGTGAACGGTACGAGTTTGAGATATGTGATTCATCTAGCCGTATTCCTAGCGAAGAGCCAATTAGTTGAGTGGTTATAAAAACATTCTCATTTTTTGGCTGTGGTACACCAGTGACCACCAAACTGTTGTTGAAGCTGTTTTGTTGAATTTCGTTACATTTATATTTCAGGCTGCTATTTTCCTTCATCACGCTCTTCATTTTAAGCTCCAACGCTTCAATTCTATTCTTATTTTCTGTATTTCAGTTTCGTGTTTGTCATCTCTGCTTTTCAAGTTAACTATTTCCGCATCATGTTGTTCAAGAGTGTGTAAGAACAGATTTTGTTTGTCTAAAATGGTTCTAACAGTATCCCGAATTTCAGACATTGTTGTAGAATCAAACGATTGGTTTTGTTTGTTGCTTGTGAGTTTATTATTACAGGTATCACATGACCAAATTGAGTCTTCAGAGCTGTATGATGCTACTTGACTTTCCTCGATTTTGATACAGTTTGCATGGTATACCTTCGAGCAACACCTACATCTCACCTTCAGTCTTGCCAATGGCCGTTCTCCACAAATATCGCAATTGGACATTATGATATTCACTGATTCTTACTGGTTGGTATATCAATGGATCGATTCGATTCAGGAATTTGATCGTAATTGAAGTGTACTTACAGATCTACTAAAACTTCAATCTAACTTGGTATGGCGAAGTGAACGTCTAAGGTACACTTTGGTATAAATTTCAACTTTGTACTCACAGTTTACACGTATTCACATGCGAAAATACACAGAGCTCATGAACATACGTTCGTTCGGTTAAAGAATCTTTTGTATGGTCAGTGCAAACTCGTCTGCTCCAATAGTGTCAATGTGAGATGATGAGATAGAGAGATATAGTGTGCACAACGATGAAGTCGATGATCCCCATTTGTCTGTTGTACTCGCTATATATCCTCCAAAGGCGTCTTATATGGTCACTGCAGTCGTATCTGTATGCATGCCAGATGTTATACTGCAGAGTTACAGTGTGAACATAGTCGAAGTCGAGGTTTCTTGTTCTGCAAGCAGTGTGCGTAATACCTGCCTGATAAGTTGTCATATATGATCATTGCGAACTTGTCTGCTTCAATAGTGTCCATGTAAGATGATAGGATAGAGAGATATAGTGTGCACACGATGATGTCGATGTTTCTCATTCGCCTTTTGTACCCGCTATAATCTCTTCAAGGTCGTTTTATACGGTCACTGCAATCGTTCCTGCATCAACTGTATGCATGTCATATGCTAGACTGCAGAGTTACAGTGTAAACAAAGTCGAAGTCGAAGTTTCTTGTTCTGCAAGTTCTGTGCGTTATACCTGCTCAAAAGTCGTCTTATATAGGGCATTGCGAACTCGTTTGCTTCAATAGTATCCATGTGAGATGATAAGATAGAGAGATCGAGTGTGCACACCGATGAAGTCGATGTAACTTCATTTGCCTATTGAACTCGTTATATCGTATCTGCTTCACTGTATGCATGTCAGATGCTAGACTGCAGAGTAACAGTGTGAACATAGTCGAAGTCGAAGTTTCTTGTTCTGCAAATCGTATATACTGTGCACAACGATGAAGTCGATGTATCTTCATTTGCCTATCGTACTCGTTATATACCCTTTAAAGTCATCTTATCCGGTCACTGCAGTCGTATCTGCTTCAACTGTATGCATGTCAGATGCTAGACTGCAGAGTTACAATTGTAAACATAGTCGAAGTCGAGGTTTCTTGTTCTGAAAGCTGTGTGCGTGATACCTGCTCGATGAGTTGTCTTATATGGTCATTGCGAACTTGTCTGCTTCAATAGTTTCCATGTAAGATGATAGGATAGAGAGATATAGTGTGCACAACGATGATGTCGATGTATCTCCATTCGCATATTGTACCCGCTCTAATCTTCTCAAAGTCGTTTCATACGGTCACTGCAATCGTTCCTGCATCAACTGTATGCATGTCATATGCTAGACTGCCGATTTACAGTGTGAACATAGTCGAAGTCGATGTTTCTGTTCTGCAAATCGTGTGAGTTATACCCGCTTGGGAGTCGTCTCATATGGTCAATGCGAACAAGTCTGCTTCAATAGTGTCCATGTGAGATGATAGGATAGGGAGATATAGTGTGTACGACGATGAAGACAATGTATCCCCATTTGCCTGTTGTACTCGTTATATACCATTCAAAGTCGTCTCATACGGTCACTTGCCATCGTATCTGCTTCAATGTTATGCATGTCAGATGCTAGACTGCAGAGTCCACAGTGTGAACAAAGTCGGAGTCGGAGTTTCCGTTCTGCAAGTTGTGTACGTTATACCCGCTTAGAAGTCGTCCTCATATGGGCATTGCGAACTCGTTTGCTTCAATAATATCCATGTAAGATGATAGGATAGACAGATAGAGTGTGCACACCGATGAAGTCGATGTTACTTCATTTGCCTATTGAACTCGATCTATACCCTCCAGAGTCGTCTTATACGGTCACTGTCATTGTATCTGCTTCAACTGTATGCATGTCAGATGCTTGACGGCAGAGTTACAGTGTAAACATAGTCGAAGTCGATGTTTCTTGTTGTGCAAGTTGTGTGTGTTATACCCGCTTGAAAGTCGTCTCATATGGGCATCGGAAACTCGTCTGCTCCAATAGTATTCATGTGAGTTGATGGGATAGAGATATAGAGTGTGCATACCGATGCAATCGATGTATCTTCATCTGCCTATAGTACTTGCTATATACCCTTCAAAGTCGTCCTATTCAATAGTTTCCATGTGAGATGATTTGATAAAGAGATATGGTGTGCACAATAATAAAGTCGATGTATCTTCATTTGCCTATTGTACTCGTTATATACCCTTCAATGTCGACTTATACGGTAACTGCAATCGTATATGCTCAAACTGTTTGCATGTGAGATGCTAGACTGTAGGGTTACAGTGTTAACATAGTCGGAAACGAAGTTTCTCGTTCTGCAAGATTTGTGCGTAATACCCGCTTGAGAGTAGTCTTATATGGTCAATGTGAACTTGTCTGCTTCAATATTGTCCATGTGGGGTGATAGGATTGAGAGATATAGTGTGCACAACGATGATGTCGATGTATCTCCATTCGCCTATAGTACCCGTTATAATCCCTCCAAAGTCGTTTTATTCGGTCACTGCAATCGTTCCTGCATTGGCTGTATGCATGTCATATGCTAGGCTGCAGAGTTACAGTGTGAACAAAGTCGAAGTCCAAGTTTCTCGTTCTGCAAGTTGTGTGCGTTATACCCGCTTGGAAGTCGTTTCATAAGGGCATTGCGAATTCGTTTGCTTCAATAGTATCCATGTGAAATGATATGATAGAGAGATAGAGAGTGCACACCGATAAAGTCGATGTAACTTCATTTGCCTATTGAACTCGTTATATAATACCCTCCAGAGTCGTCTTATACGGTCACTGTCATCGTATTTGCTCCAACTGTATGCATGTCAGATGCTTGACGGCAGAGTTAGTTACAGTGTGAACATAGTAGAAGTCGAAGTTTCTTGTTGTGCAAGTTGTGTTCGTTATTCCCGCTTGGAAGTCGTCTCATATTGGCATCGGAAACTCGTCTGCTTCAATAGTATCCATGTGAGTTGATAGGATAGAGATATAGAGTGTGCACACCGATGCAGTCGATGTATCTTCATCTGCCTATTGTACTTGCTATATACCCTTCAAATTCGTCTTATATGGTCACTACCATAGTATCTGCTCAACTGTATGCATGTCAGATGCTAGACTGTAGGATAACAGTTCAAACATAGTCAAAGTCGGAGTTTCTTGTTCTTCAAGCTGTGTGCGTTATACCCGCTTGGAAGTCGTCTTATACGGTCACTGCAATCGTAACTTCTTCAACTGTATGAATGTTCGCTGCTAGACTGCAGAGTGACAGTGTAAACATAGTCGAAGTCGGAGTTTATTGTTCTGTAAATCGTGTGCGTTATGCCGGCTAGAGAGTCGTCTTATATGGTCAATTCCAATCTGTCTGCTTCAATAGTGTCCATGTAAGATGATAGGATAAAGAAATATAGTGAGTACGACGATGACGATGATGTATCCCCATTTGCCTGTTGTACTCGTTATATACCGTTCAAAGTCGTCTCATACGATCACTGCCATCGTAACTGCTTCAACTGTATGCATGTCAGATGCTAGACTGCAGAGTTACAGTGTAAACATAGTCAAAGTCGGAGTTTCTTGTTCTCCAAGCTGTGTGCGTTATTTCCGCTTGGAAGTCGTCTAATATGGTCAATGCAAACCTGTTCGCTTCAATAGTGTCAATGTAAGATGATAGGATAGAGAGATATATTGTGCACAACGATGAAGTCGATGTATCTTCATTTGCATATTGTACTCGTTATATACCCTTCAAAGTCGTCTTATACGGTCACTGCCATCGTATCTGGTTCAACTGTATGCATGTCAGATGCTGGACTGCAGAGTTACAGCGTGAACATGGTCAGAGTCGGAGTTTCTTGTTCTGCAAGCTGTGTGAGTTATACCCGCTTGGAAGTCGTCTTATATGGTCAATGCAAACTTGTCTGCTCCAATAGTGTCAATGTGAGATGAAAAGATAGAGAGATATAGTGTGCACAACGATGAAGTCGATGATCCCCATTTGTCTGTTGTACTCGCAATATACCCTCCAAAGTCGTCTTATATGGTCACTGCAATCGTATCTGCTTCAACTGTATGCATGCCAGATGTTATACTGCAAAGTTACAGTGTTAACATAGTCGAAGTCGAGGTTTCTTGTTCTGCAAGCTGTGTGCGTAATACCTGCTTAATGAGTTGTCTCATATGGTCATTGCGAACTTGTCTGCTTCAATAGTATTCATGTAAGATGATAGGATGAAGAGATATAGTGTGCACAACCATGATGTCGATGTATCTTCATTCGCCTATTGTACCCGCTATAATCCCTTCAAAGTCGTCTTATACGGTCACTGCAATCGTTCCTGCATCGACTGTATATGCATGTCATATCCTAGACTGCAGAGTTACAGTGTGAACAAAGTCGAAGTCGAAGTTTCTTGTTTTGCAAATCGTGTGCGTTATGTCTGCTTGAGAGTCGTCTCATATGGTCAATGCGGACTTGTCTGCTTCAATAGTGTCCATGTGAGATGATAGGATAGAGAGATATTGTGTGTACGACGATG